AGTGAAGTGAAAGAGCAAAAGTCCATCCCAGGAATTTACACCTAGGTACCATATCCACCAGGAAAGAAGTTGCAAACTAGTATGTAACACACACACACATTCTCGTACACTGTCATGTCTGACCCAGGTTGAGGCCAGGATGACGCTTCCGATGAAAGTTCCTAACAGTACAGAATCAAAGACCTTGTTGGATTCCCTGATCCTACTGAGACCTCAAGGACTTTTGGTATAGGTGCAGTAACTACTCCAGGCCCTTCAATGGCGGTAGGCATTGAGAATCCCCAGACGGGACCCCAAGGACCGTATCTCACCCACTGGATCAGAGGAGGAGGCAGAGAGAAAAGTCAGGGCTGGTAGCTAATGCCTTAGCTCTAAAGGTTGCCACTTGGAACTGAAGCATAGCTCTTATGGACTGCAGCACCTGGGGGTCCGGCATTGCTTGCGAAGGGGGCAAAGTCGTGTCGCTGACGCTTGGGTTCCTCATAAAACCCCACTTTTGGACTTCCCTTGTGCTGGCCTGGTAATACTGCTCTCCAGAGGCTTTGCCTTACCTGTGGACTTTTGCTACTTTGAATTGCCCTTTTCCCATGTACTTTTCAAGACTATTATCAAACAACTTGGATGAAGATTCAAAAGGACTTACAAAAATGAAGTAAACTGAAAGCATCTTGGTTGGGGAGAATTTGTTATAAAAATAAATGTATTACCTGAACTGAACTTTCTTTTTCGGATGATACCAACTGCGAAACCGGAAAAAAATCTTTCAAGATTAGTAGAAACAAATAGTTTTGTATGGAATGGCAAGAAACCAAGGATCAGATTTAAAATTCTTCAGGATGCAAAGGAAAGAGGAGGACTTGCTGTACCTAATTTGAAGTTATACTGCTATGCAGCAGGCACGGTCTATATTGCAGACTGGATTTTAAATGCTAATAACAGGCGAGTGAAGTTGGAACTGGCTGATCTTGAAGAAGGAATACATAATCTTTTATGGGCTAAAATGTCAGGTAAGAAGGCTCTGATGTTAAATAACAACCTGCTCTAAGAGACAGTTTAATAAAAATTTGGTATTCTATGAGAAAAAAACAGTTGAAATATGGAAAACACTCAAGGAGGAATAATGATTTCATAACTTACTGAGACACTATTGATCAATCAGGATGAGTCAAAACTTGGCAACTACTGAAAGATGAAGGGAAAAAATATAGTGGCTCATTTGTCATCAATTGATTTCAAGACTGAAGGTGAAGGCATCTTAAGAGATCTGACAGATTTTGAAAATCTGATTACACAGCAGAACGATCATCCACTGGGAAGTCTTTATAAATTGCTATCACACTATGATATTGAAAGCCATCAAGATAAGAAACACATGACAATCTGGGAACAGAATATTGGTGGAGAGATCACCGGGTCAATGGGAAGCTCTTTGCAAGAAAGGTATTACATTTACTGCCAGTCAAACATGAAGAGAAAATTGGTATGATGTTTTATCAGTGCTGTATTACTCCAAAAGATATTGGAAAAATAGTTAAGAATTATAATGGAAAATGTTGGAAATCCAACAGGGTGGATGGGACTTTCTATCATATGTGGTGGACATTTGAAATAACACAAACTTTTTGGAAACTGATACATGCAGAAATGCAGAAAATCGTCAAAATGAAGTTTCCTATGAGTCCCAAGAACATGCTTTTGAATATCGTCCCAGAGACTCTTTTGAAAAATATGTCAAGAGTTATTTGAGTATGACTACGGCACCAAGAATCTCAACAGCTTCTACATGGAAATCACCAGAGTCCCCGACTATTGAGCGACGGAGAAACAGCTTAGCAGAACATGCAGTGATGGCAAAGCTAACCAACTATGTAAACAGAAGACAGAAGAATTTAATGGCAAATGGAAATTTTATTGTGCTCAGCATGATTAATGGAAGTTCAGGGGAGTTAGGAAAAGAAAAAGGAAAGCAGAATCTCTTGATGTATAGAATAGTGATTTCTTTTCGGTAAACTCTCACAAAGCGTGGGGAGATAGAGTCATTTTGCGGGGTTGTAATACAGGCTGTATCTGTTTAAAATTCCCTTGGCAATCTTGTCTATTTTGTTTATCTAGTTTGCTTTAGTTTGTTTATACTAGTTTTTTTTCTATTCTACATTTTAAATGTATTTTTGTATGCTAAGCTTTTTTTTAAGGAATTGCCCTTTTTGCTAGCCTGATAAAACTGTGTCTTGACTCATTGCTAAATGGATTTGCCCTTATTTTGCCATAGGGCTGAGCCCCAGTCCAATCTAGTGATAATGGGACACGCACGGACACAGCAAGCGGGCGCACTTCAAGCCTCACACAGATCTTTCTTAAGCATGCCTCCATTGCTCCAGCCCATCAACCATCGCGTCCGCCTGCTTAGCGGTCTCATGGCAGCAGAGCCAATGCCGTTTTAAATTAAATTTCAATGAATTTCTTCTTGTAACACAAGGTGGTGGTGGGGAAATGATTTGTTGTCCAGCATAACTATGGCTAACTGCAGGAAAACACAGGAACTGCCCCAGTGCTTCCTGTGAGTATATAGTAATTCCTTCTTTAAAAGTTATTGCTAATTGGCTAAAGACGCCCAGCATAGGCACCTATTCTCAGAGTAAAATATTGGGTACTGTGCCAGCAGAGGAGAGCTTGGTCAGGACATTTAATAGCAAGGCAGAGCATTCCTGCTGGGCATCCATCACACATGCTCCGTAACCAAGATATGAAAGCAGGCCTGGGTAACCAGTGTTGCCACATGAAGGGAAGTAACTTGCTGCCACTGGAAATGGTCCAAAACAAATGTGAAGAAGAGCACTTATATTTGCCTCCCTGGGTCCGTTTTTGTTTGCCAAACCCCATGGGATGCTTATTTACCTGAATACTTTCCATTGCCTGGGATATAAATAAAACCAGCAGCAGCAGCAGCAGCAGCAGCAGAATTCTCTAGATTTATTCATATAGTATATGACTAGGGCTCTTTTTGTTTTCAGGGGATACTTGTATCTGCTTCCCTGGATCGATTTGTCTTTTGTGTCACAAACCAGAAGCAGTAAAGGAATAGACACAGAACTGTATTAAAAGAACTGTGAATATACAAATTAAGGCCGTAACCTTGAGACATTACTACCTGTGAAGTGCTGTTGCAAATCCCAGGACTTAAGATTCTAGGATTATAGTAGATGAATCAGGTAAGGTATCCAGGGCACCAACTTGGTCCAGTTTTCTTAGACGAGTTTCAGCTGGTAGTTTGAGGATGTTGACATGATGCTCAGACAAGGGACCATCAACTATGGTTTTCTTCTGAGGTGGCTAGACGAGTTTGGAATGGGAAGTATCGCATTGCAGTGGTGCCACTACTTGGATGGCAAGCCCCATTTGCCAAATTTGATTAAATCAATACTCTGCACATGTGCAGTTTTGCACATCAGACTCACTTATAACACCACCACGACTTAAGGAATACATCAGGAGTTTGTTTCTGTTGCTCTTATGCCAAATGCATTTGCTAGAGAATAAACAGCACATTCTTGAGGAAACAATATTTTAAAAGAAAATAATAAAATGGGTAACTCTAATCTTGTGTTTAGCTAGCCTGACTGACAAAAATGGTTGTTTAAAAGAAACAGCTTGAGCGACAGGAGGAAGTATCAGTCCTGGATCGAGGCTTTGAGGCTGGAACTACATCACTTCCAGCTCCCTGGCTGATCGTGAGGTGGACTTGGGGCTGGGGACCCAGGCCCAGCCTGAATCGCTAGCCTGCGTATCGGCTGCTGAGCAAGCTGCCCCTGCAGCTCTGAGTTCCCCAAGCAGCCCCCAAGCAGCCACGGGGGTCTCGGTCTTCCTTCTCCCCTAGTCCCTGTCAGGCATCCCAGGTTCTGCCTAGATGCGAATCCATTCCCGGGCTTTCTCTGCATTCTCCACAAGCTTCTCTCCTACAGGGATGATGGGATCTGTCCCACCTCGTTCCTGGAAGATGGCGAAGGACGCCCAACAAGACCCCCAGCAGAAGCCTGCATTGCCTGGAAGCCCCTTGCTTTGTGTGTGTTTAAATATTGCGGGTCCCACTCGCCGTTCTGGGCTGGATGAGCAGAGACAGCTTTCCCCAGCCCAGTGCCCTCCAGCTGCGTGCAACCACAACTCCCAGGGTTCCATGACTGGCTGAGGATACTGGGAGTTGTAGTCTACAGACTGCAAACGCTGTAGTTGGAGAAGGTACGACCCCCCCCCCCCCCCAGATTGGGGTGTATTAGGCGAGCTCAGGGAGCATCGAGAGAAAGCGAAGGCCGAAGCGCCAGCTGGCCGGGCCACCCTCTCGCTGGCTCCCGGCTGCTGTTCCCTCCAGGCACCCACGGGAACGGCAGAAAGGCCCGTCGTCGCCAAACAGAAGGCGCGCCAGGCCGGCGGACTCCAGGCCCGAGCTCTGCGTGCCTTTCGCGGCGTCCAGGCGCGCCGCCTCCGGCGATGCTCCGCGTCCGCGCGGCCGCACGAAAGCGCGACCGTCCCCGGCGCCGCCGCCTCCTCTCCCGCAGCGCCCGGCCTCGGGCTCCCCGGGCGGCCGTCCGCGAGCACGGGCGCTTCCCGAGGTGGGGGCGGCCCCCGGAGGGGCCCGGGCAGCCCGCTCTCCCCGGCGGCGGCGGCGCGCACTCCGGCTCGTGCATCGCCGGAGGCGGCG